TGAAGAAAGTAAAAGAAGGTTACGGCAGGATCGCCACTGGCTTCTATTCTGAGCCATATCTGATAACGTCTCTAGCCACCGTGTTGCATCATCTCTCGGACCCCAGCCAGGGAGTCGTGAAGGACCAACACAAACCAGCCCTTTGCAGCTTTCTTTCATACCACGACACCATGTCATACACTGACCACCTCTCCGCTTTTTACAACCAGTCCCAGAGTCGGCAAATAATGCACAACGTGGAATTCTCTGGGACGACATTCGGAGAACATGTCCAAGCCACCGAAGTCGGTGTTTCAAGATGGTGACACTAATCGGATTATCGTCTCTATGCCGAACACACGATGCCGAACCTCTGCATTACTAACATGGTGTTGCCATGGGATGTCAGAAATCCTTCGGAGACAACGATGATCGAACACAGAGAGTTGTCTAACATCCTCAACTCGGAGAGGCCAGGTTTCACAAGCATAGAGCAAAACTGCTCTCACTGACGCGTTGTAGATCCGACCTTTTACAGCCAGACTGACATCACGAAGGCGCCAAAGATGACCAAGATTGGCATAAGCAACTGATTAAGTGTGGATTGCTTGCCTTGGGCATTATCACACAGTAAGACAATATCATCCACATACTCAAGGTCGAGAAGTCTTTCTCCGGGCAACAGATCCACACTCATTACTTACATCCATCAGGGCTGTTTTCAGAATGTCGCCGATGGCAAAGTTGAAGAGGAATGGTGAGATTGTGCAACCCTGCCTAACCCCACTGCTTGAATGGAACAATGGAGAAAGGTGGTTGTATGCCCTCACTCTACCTGAGGTGTTTGTATATAGGGCCTTTAGGATGTTAATAAACTTCTCAGGCACACCCTTCTTCAATAGAAAATCCCAGAGAACAGTCCTGTCTAACGAATCGAAGGCAGCCGTGATGTCAAGAAACACTACGATTGTTGGCCTTTGATAAGTATGGCGGTGTTCTAACATTTGGTGGAGGGTGAAGATATGATCAATACATCCTCGACGAGAACGAAAACCAACCTGATCCTCGCAAGTCAATCTTTCTCGGGTTTTGAACAACCTACGAAGTATGACGGAAGCCAATAGCTTGGACGCAATCGGAAGTAGACTTATCGCCCGATAGTTGTTACAGGAACGACGTGAACCCTTTTTAAAGATAGGGACAACTATAGACTCATTCCATGACGTTGGTACACTCTCTAGCTCCCAAACCTTTGTAAACAATGTCGTCAGTTCCTTAGTCAGAAAGTCACCACCATCTTTAAAAGGAGCCGGAGGTAAGTCATCTGGGCCAGGTGATTTGTAGCGCTTCAAGAGATGGAGTTCCTTGCTGAATTCCGCCTCATTTGGTGGATCAGTCGTCACCGGCCATGGAGGGCAGGACAATCTGACCGATGTTGCCGGAGCAGCAGGCCAATTGAACTGCCCTTCGAAGAATTCTGCCCATCGTCCAAGACGTCGATGGATGTTGGTGATTGACATCCCGTCATCCTTACAGATTGTTTTGCTCACACCAGACTTCTTGTTGCCAGTGGCTCGGATGAGTTGGAAGAGCTTCCGGTAGTTACCAGATGCAGCTGCTGTTTCCAGCTCATTAGCACGCTCTGACCACCAGGCTTCTCGGTCCTTACGCAAGCTTTGCCCGATTTCCTTACGTAACAGTCGTCGTTTGTGGTCAAACTCACGGTCACCCGGAGTAGACCGACGGGCTTCGACGAGTTGTACGGAGCCTGAAGAAACTCGGTGCAATCTGTCAGGGCATAGACGGAGATAACGAAAATACATCGTTTCTCACGCCGATTTCTTCTCACTTTGATGGAACTCTCTAATCTAACAACACATAGCCGACTGTTAATGGCGATCCAATCGATTAGTGCTACCTCACCTCAGCTCAACACCAGCAAGACCAGATGAAGATGCCACAGGGTCCCCGGATAAACTCACGTAAAACAAGCTTTTCGAAGCGACAGATAAAGAGGGGATTTGTAGTACTTCACTAAAGTCTTGAATACGGGTCTCAGATAGACAGCAAACACCGATTTTAAGACTGTCTAAAGACAGCCCCCCAACCCGCGTAAGTGTGCGAACGTTGAAGGCAGCCAGTTTGTATGGTGCACGTCGTTCCAGAAAAACTGCTTCAGTACTCATATTCGGTGGTAACATACAATTTTCAACTAGGCAGTGACTCGAGAACGTTTAGATAGAGTCGAATATCCACCAAAGACGAGCTGCTGTATAAGTCGAAAAAATAAGTATAGACAGAGTAGGAATAAAAGAGGGTGAATAATGTCGTAGTAAATAATAATAATAATAATAATAATAATAATAATAATAATAATAATAATAATAATAATAATAATGTGAATTTTTTGACTGTAAATCGAAGCGAGAATAGAATTTTCGGTAAATATCGTCATTTTCATTTCATTTGTGTGAGGGTTGTGATACTACCCGAGTGCCCAAACCGAAGCAGGTGGTTATCTTAGGGGGCCACACCCTGAGCCTTCGACCTAGAAGTCTAACCCACAAGGCAATGGAGGATCGTGAGGTGATGCAGTCCCATGGTAGCCAGTGACCAATGATTGATTCATACGCCATTTGTTCCCGCAGGATACTGGAGCCCATGTGCACCATTGGTTCGGGATCCGGTTAATGCACCCGAACATTCGCTTTTCGTCCTCTGATTTTTGTAGACAACACCCCTGTCACGAGAACGCAGTGAGTAGGACTTCCCTTGTAGATGCTGTATACGCATGGTCGTGTGAGAGCATTTCGAGAGGAAAAACGGGCCCATCCCACTCTCGGCCATACCGGGCATTTGGGGGCTGGCTATTGTAATGTAATAATGTTAAACAAGTACAAGTTCAACTATCATTTTATCATTGAATATTTCGCAAACAAGTAAAAATATTTTACAAAACAAACAATAAGTAACTAAATGACTTACATATAAATAATTCAGCCATTCCACAACTTTGTTCTATTGTTAGCCAATCAGTACCTAAAGTTAGAATGAGCACAACAAATAACTTAAAACAGTTTGGTTGATCATAATTAAAATTTGTCTTTATACAATATATATAATTTTAGTTTACTGGTTTAATGCATTAAACTTTCGTTCAACCTAGTAGGTCACATGTTCGAAATCCTCTTTACCTACCTCAGTTTAAGAAATCGGCTAGTATTATGAGGCTTCATACAAATGGTATAGCTTAAAGTCGAATATAAAGTAAATTGGATACATAAGTATCTGACTAAATACTAGGAAAAACAATATCAGTTAGTCATAAACAATATAGAACGTGACCATTATATGCATCGGTTCAAGCTGCTACACTATGTCACGATATTTGGATGAAAATATCAAGACTAATGTCAGAGTAATGGAAGTAGTAACAGCATCAGTAGAAAACACTAGACATAGACAGCATGATTCGAGAAGACAGAATGAACTAGTAATATGAGATCGTTTTAAAATTTAGGACCTAAGGGAAGACGAAGAGTGAATTTATCTATCATTGTGACATTATGACGCCTTCCACTCAACATCAACTACTGAGTGCGGTCACTGAACGAAAAGCAAACAGGTAGTCTGCACCTGTTAACACAGCCTAGTTCAGCGGTCAATCACTTCATGGACTAATTCCACCTATTAGTTTTACCGCACCTAACTTGATAAATGATATATTTCAGTGAAATTTTGCTGATTCATACACTAAGAGGTAACCCACATTTATCCCCAAGAATATTTTATTCTGATCTCTGAACATTGTTAAATGAGACAGGGTTTATATATATTTGAGACCCACTGGTTGAGAACAAAGTGTGTAATAAACCAGACTTGGCTCGGGATAATCAGTTTATTGTTGAACACAAAATTACAGAATTATTTCGCAAAATGTGAAAACCATACATTCAATAGTTCATTTGCAAATCTTCCATCAAATGTCCTATACACCCTTCATGATTCTTCCAATCTTCAATCCCTTAATGTTTCCCTTTCTGTTTTCTTCATTTCAATCTTCTCAACCCTCTGCTGACAGGTATTCCATTTCTGATTGGTGTTATATACTACTTATGTCTTAGTAAATATCACATACATGTCGACTGTAGAAAATATGTTTTCACATTATCCAATTAAAAACAATAAGTAAGCACGTTTATTCGAAGCAACCGATATACAAACAGAAGATATTTAAATATTTTAAGAAATTTCATATAGGGAGAAGTTGATTTTAGAAAAAGATTATCGATCCTATCAATCAAACGGGCATGTTCATAGTGAAGACGTAAAAACAGTAAGAAATGTTGTGCTAGACAAAATAGTGTCTGTTTCAATGAGAAATAGTGAAAAACAAACAAACAACCTAAATAAAAATCAATTGAGGAAGCTTTTACGTGAATTCAATGATTTAATGTAACATCTCGATAAGTAACTTTTAAACACGCCTATTTCGAGCTACACGGTATGTATGAAGGGCACAGTTATACTGTGGTGCGTGCTACTTATATTGATATAAGTAGTATATAACGCGAGTCAACAGAACGTAATGTCTGGCAGCGGAAGATGGAGAAGATCAAGAAAAGAAGAGAGAGAAAACAATGGAATTTGTAAGAAATCGCATGAACAATGAAATGCGAGACAATGGATTGATGTTTGCAAAAGCAATAGTCCGGTTTGATATGATAGAATGATATTTTGCAAATTAACGATTTACTATATGGTTTTTCTGTTTTACCAAGTAATTCTGTAATTTGTCCTAAATACAATTTGGCTGTCCTCACCCGTGTTCTCCTTCACTACGTTTGGTGTCGCTGCCTCCACTAAGGATGAAGATTCCATCCCCGAAGGAGTTTGAGGACGGAGATGTGCTGAGCTTCCTGAAGGAGTTTGAGGCCGTGGCGGAGCTGGTGGGAGTGAAGGGGCCGAAGGCGAAGTTGGTGGTACTGGGGACGCTGCTGAGAGGCAGGACGAAGGCTGTGTATGACAGCCTGGACGGTGCTGGCGGGAAGACGACATAGGAGACAGTCACGGAGCGGTTGGCGGCGGAGATTGACAGCCCAGTGGACAGAGAAGACGCGCTGCAGAAGTTCCGGTTGGCGAGGTTGCCGGTCGATGGTGACCCACTGGTGCTGGCTGTGGAGCTTACCAGATTGTTACGCCGTGCGCTGCCGAGTCTGGATGAGGAGTCGGAGGCACAGTTGTTGGCGTCACAGTTTATCGAGAGTGTGCCTGACACCGTCTCCCAACAGCTGAACGCAGCACAACCGATGGATATCAGTGAACTGGCGAAGGTGACTCGTCAGCTGATGACGCGAACAGTAACTCTGGTCGGGTGCGAAAAGCAGGAGATGAGTAATGTCGAGAAGAAGATTGAGGAGCTGGAGCGTGAGATTGCAGCAATACGAGTGAACAATAAAAGGAACGATAAATGTTACGCTTGTGGAGGGACAGGACATTGGAAGATAAACTGTCTAACAAGACGAAGACGCAGATATGTTAGACGTTACAACGAGTGTTCTTTCTATTCTAGGAATCTGGGGATTGTTGCGTTAGTAGACAGAGGGGCAGTATATACGAGAGTGAACATAAATGAGCGAGATTTAGTTTGTCTGATCGATACAGGTGCAGCAGTATCGTTAATAGGCAAAGAGCAATGTAAGAGAATCAAGCCGTGTACATTAGCTGTCCACACGATAGGAGGCCATATGTTAGAGGTGTTTGGCGTATCTAGCAGTATCGTAAAAATGGGGGATGCTGAGATAAATTTTCCGTTCGTCGTAACCACAAGCTTATCGAGACCGATATTAGGAGCAGATTTCCTAAGAGAAGTAAAAGCGATAGTTGACTTAAGAAGCGGTAAGGTGGTCACGAAATATGGTTCATTGACAATACACGAAAGTAGCGAAGTGGCCGAAATAAGAGTTGCAGCGGATGTCTCGTCAAAGAAACCAAACATTCACGAGTTATGCAAAAAGTATGCGAAACTATTCACTGGAGTCAGTCTGTAAAACTCATCTTTTACATTATCTGAGCTGCAGTCAGTGGGAGAATAGGCAGAGACGACGAAGAGGCAACCACGAGTGTCCCTATCCTTCTGAGTCCTTACTGTTCCGTTCAGTCGGACAGCGCACAAACGACTGTCTACTGGGATCCACTCTAAGAGAGCTAGTTCTGCCCTAGGACTCAATGCTATACCTACGCCGGCGAGGCCACGGGAAGCAGAATCAGGGCTTCCAGATACACGAAGCGTAAATCGAGTCGGTTCTTTATTTTGGTATGGTGAGGTCAAATGAATGACGCTACTCGGACCCTCTCTGCGCGTTTCGGAGACGCAGCACACATCGATGGCGTGAGATTCTAAAGTTTTAGCTAAGGAAGCCTGCTGTCCTATTTGGCACAGTGTTCGGACGTTAAAAGCTCCTAAGTGTAGTTTAGAGCGTGGTTTCAGGAGACCAGGAATAACGTTCCGCGTACTCGAATCGTTTGCACTAGCGGTGCGAGGTGATAAAGGGACGTGAGAAGGATTATTCGTGGAGATAAGAGAGGTATTAGGAGGTGTAGGAAGGATTTGAATGTGACCACCTTGGTCTCTTGTGCTGTTACGGGTATGAGGGCTGATGTCACTTCCCGGCTGCCCACACCGTGGAAGGGTATTTCTTGAGGAACCTGAAAAGGAAATTGGATTAGTGTTGGTCTTGACGACCTGGGAGCGTGACCGCAGTGCCCAAGGGACAACTGCTTGAGGCCGGTCGCGCACGGCCTTTTTGTGGAAGGTTTTTGACGTGTTAGCTCCGTTCTTCAAAGGGCCTTACCGCCGGAGACGGAAATCCGTGAGGTAAGGTGAGGTGTGCATTTTTAGGGTCGACCTTTTCTAACCCCATCCCTCCTTGTGGGAAGGCAGCATCGCTGTCATGCTGGTTGTCCGAGGGAAACACCTTACTGCTGTCACACCTCTCTACAGTCAGCAGTACGACTTCGCCCTCAGACCTTGAGTTGCTGCTTTTAGTCTTACCGTTCGCCAATCGACCTGCCTGGCATGGTAGAACCTGCAGGAACATATGTTCCAGCCAATATAGCTCGTTTGGGTCATCACGATAGGCAAGCCCGACCACCACGTCGTGTCCCGGTGCATTTAGAGGCCGAGGTAAATCGTCAGGTCCAGGAAATGTTAAAAGAAGGTATAATTGAGGAAGCGGACAGCCCGTATAGCTCGCCGGTACTCTTGGTAAAGAAACCAAATGGAAAATATAGATTTTGTGTCGACTTCAGAGAATTGAATAATATAACAGACCTGAAGCCTTGTGCAATGCCAACAATGGTGGAAACATTAGATCGGCTACAGAAGGCCACGGTGTTTACAGTGCTGGATTTACGGTCAGGTTATTGGCAACTGCCTATAAAACAGAGTGATCGAAGCAAGACAGCGTTTACTGTACGTGATAAACGGTATCAATTTAAACGAATGCCGTTCGGGTTGGCGGGTGCACCATTCACGTTCAGAAGATTAATGACAATACTGCTCAAGAATCTAGATAATGTCGAGGTATATGGCGACGATGTAGTTGTGTACAGTCAAACAGAAACAGATCACATCAAGCATGTGGAGGCGGTCTTAAAGCGAATTGACGAATTTGGACTTCGGATTAATAAGGACAAGTCGCAGATAGCGAGAAGTAGCGTCACATTGTTGGGACATAAAGTGGGAAATGGAGAAATAAAACCATTGCCGGAGAAAATTCTTACCATAAAAAATATTGCAGTACCTAATTCGAAAAGGAAGTTGAGACAGTTCCCGGGAAGAGCGGCGTTCTACAGTCGGTTTGTCAAGAATTTCAACGAAACAGCAGCACCCTTATATAAGTTATTGAGCAGCACCAAGTTTACGTGGACTGAGACTGCTGAACAAACGTTCAACTGAATCAAAATCATGCTAGACGATCGCCAGATGACGCTCAGACTGCCTGAACCGGGAAGACTGTTTACAGTGGCCACAGACGCGAGTGATCATGGTATAGGTGCTGTGTTGAGTCAGGCTGATAGAGTGGTGGAATACGCAAGTCGCGTCCTCACACCTGCTGAACAGAAGTATTCAACCATCGAAAAGGAGTGTTTAGCGATCGTGTGGGCAGTGGAAAAATGGAGACCATACCTTTTAGGTAGACGATTTCACATTGAGACCGACCATAAACCCCTGCAGTGGTTGAAAACAGCAAGAGACCCCCGAGGGAAGTTGGCGCGATGGATGATACGCCTGCAAGAATACGATTTCAGTATCGACCATGTTCCAGGAAAAGAAAACGTAATGGCGGACCTCTTTGTCAAGATCAGACATGTAAGCCGACCTGCCATTAACAGCATACGCGGTGAATAGTTTAGAGGAAGATTCATTAGAACTCGTCCGGCAGCAGAAAGCTGACCCTAACCTTCGAGAGGTAATCAGAGTGATAAAAGAGGGAGCAGACGTAGATAAACGAACAATGGACAAGGAGGTAATAACGCTACTTCGGCAAAAAGAACGATTGAGAGTGAACTCATATGGAGTGTTGACCTGGCAGGACGATGATGAGAATTGGGTGGCGGTGATCCCGAAAGACTGGCGGCGTAAAGTGATACACGAATGTCACCAGGTAGCACATACAGGCATCGCAAGAACGACGGACTTACTACGACAAAGTGCATACTGGCCGAGCATGAGAGACGATGTGGCTGAATACGTGTTAACCTGCCAGCAGTGTCAGCTAATGAAAAGCGATCGATACACACAACCGCCATTACAGTCAATCCCAGTAACCGCAGTCGGTGATCTATGGTCGGTGAATGTGATGGGACCGTTTCCACAGACGGCGAGCGGTAACCAGTACCTGTTAGTGATGACGGAACATGCTACACGTTGGGTAGATGCCGTACCAATTGCAGACCAGCGGGCAAGAACAGTGACCGAGGTGGTAATCCGGCATATTGTAGCGTGTCACGGAATATCGAAGATGACATTAACTGACCGGGGTCCCTGTTTTGAAAGTGACGAGTTTAAAGCCCGTTTAAAGCAGTTTGGCATCAAGAGAATACGAACTACACCGTATCATCCTCAGACAAACGGGCTTACAGAGAGAAACAATCGGACGTTAAAGGAATGGTTAGCATCAAAAGGAGGAAATTGGGAGAAAGAGTTACCATTGATTTTGCTGGCACATCGTCCCTCCACACAAGGAACAACCAAGAAGTCACCTTTCTTGCTCGTGTATGGCAGACAACCACGACTTCCAATGCATAATAAGACCTGACCACAACAACAGAAGTGGACGACAACAAGGTTAGGAAAAGAGAGGCAATAAGGAACGTGGAAAAGAAACAAATATCAGATACAAAGAAGGCAGAACAACAGAGGAGAACGTGGAAACCCTTTGCAGTGGGGGACCTAGTAAAGTGTAGAGAACGAAAAAATAACATAGCAGAGGGAGCAGGGTCGGGAAAGCTGATCCCTAAATGGGAAGGACTGTATGTTATCACAGAGAGACGCGGCTCGGTTTACACGGTCCGGAGAGAAGACAAGCAGAAGCGCGTAAATGCTAGTCAACTACAGAAATGGTTTCAAGATCATCATGGGTGTGAATCACGAGAAGCACCAAAGAACACAGCGGTACGGAGATCAGAAAGACTACGACAGCAACTTGTTAAAAGGGGGGACGAGTGTGGTGCGTGCTACTTATATTGATATAAGTAGTATATAACGCGAGTCAACAGAACGTAATGTCTGGCAGCGGAAGATGGAGAAGATCAAGAAAAGAAGAGAGAGAAAACAATGGAATTTGTAAGAAATCGCATGAACAATGAAATGCGAGACAATGGATTGATGTTTGCAAAAGCAATAGTCCGGTTTGATATGATAGAATGATATTTTGCAAATTAACGATTTACTATATGGTTTTTCTATTTTACCAAGTAATTCTGTAATTTGTCCTAAATACAATTTGGCTGTCCTCACCCGTGTTCTTCTTCACTACAATACTACTTAATCGGCTTGACAAACCGACAAAGTATCAGAAGGCGTTTTGTGCAGATTGTAGTAATTTCAATAGTTAAGATCATTAGTCAATTGAAGCTAGACCATCATGGAAAACCTGGAAGCACTGGACGGCCGTTTCATCCTATCTTGGGACTCCTCAGCAATGCGCATCCAGGACCCCGCCTTGCGGGATTCTAACCCAGGACCTATCAGTCTCGCGCGCGAGCGCTTAACCACTGAGCCGGTATCCAACGTTGTTAATGTCTAGCTTCAACTAATCCACGAAATTGAGCGACACATCCACCATTATCATCAGTGAGTTATTATCTCACAACTGACCCAGTTGAACTCCACTGGTCGCTGCTTCTCACTAGAACTCCAGGATATACCTCTTGAAGCCAGTCACTAGTGAGCATATGTTGATTACTATCAGAAGGGGTTTTGTGGAGATTGTAGTAACTTCAATAGTTGAGATCATGAGTCGATTGAAACGGCCGTCGAGTGCTTCCGCGTTTTCCATGGTGGTCTAGCTTCAATTGGACTAGTACTGAGTCACACAAAACACGTAAGCATGCTAGGAAGTATGCACTGACATGACAGTCGGAAGCCGAGAAAACACTCAATCTAGTAGAGAAAATTATCCCCAAAATCTAACATGTCATATAAGTAACAAAATTTTGGTACGCTGAAACATCAAATATTATAACACTAAAAAGTCAGTGAAAAAGTACATAGGACGAAAAGCGCCATCCATCATGGTTTACCGAGATGGTAGAAATGGTGAATTTTGTTCGATTCTGATTGGTGGTTAGCTCGTGTGACAAAGTTGCGAGTGGGATTTGAGTTTATCTATTTTTCAGGTTTCATAAATTAAAAATATCGTAGTTATTTATCAGCTTTTTCAGTCACTTCACTAGTAAAAGCAAGTGTATAAAAAGCACGTGTATCTCAACTGGAAGTCCCGGACCGTAACAACAGGAAATCGTACAAGTGAATAAATATCACTATTTGTGTAGAACTATAGTATAGCTTGACTAGAACATCACAAAAATAGATTTCACACAGATAAAAGGCATAATTTGAGGTTTATGAAGGGGGAAAAGTGTATACAAATAAAGTAATTCCCAATTAATTCCATAACTTTTCAGAGTTCATCAAGGGATATGCGATGGGTCAATAAACTTATCGGAATGAATGTGCATCTTTTGAACAAGTGAAATCGCCCACATACATCTATCTATCTTAGCAATAAACACGTACTTTGAGCAACATATAAAACGAAGAATAATAGT